CTGAAATACTTTCAGATACTCTTTAAATACTTCTTTGCCATGTTCCCCTACCAAACAGATACACAGGCTGCAGACATTCCCTCTCTRTTTACCGCCTCCTCTAATTTTTAGCATTAGCTGCCAAATTACAAGAGCTTGTGGTTGGAAAATTGCAGCTGAGTATTGAGTAGCTGAACTGTCCCAGGCTGGCATGTCAGCCACAAGCTGTGGGCAGAGGTCTCTTTGCTCATTTGATGAAGAATAGGGCATAGAAAGAGCCGTACACAGGCAGCATTTCCACAGCAAGGCCAGACACGGAGGAGACTGCAGCCCCACCACTGCAAACACGAGTCAGTTCTGCAAAAAGGTCAAAGCATTAACTCCAGACTTGTAGGTGACCTCAGACCAACTAAAATAGTGTAATTCACTGAACATAGTGGTTTAATTCACTGACCTACTGATGCCATTTTATCAAACACACTTGGCCATTTTCTTTGTATCATTCTGAAAGCAGTAACCTTACTTCAGGCACTTTGAATCATTGTCTGCTGCTGGGAGATTTGAAAGAGGCAGAATCGTATTGTCCTGGAAAGTGAAAAATTAGATAACTYCTTCATTTACAGTGAGCAGCAGACACAGCCCAGCTGGCCAGACCTTACACCAAGATGCAGCTCTGAGATCAGACACCCATTTCTCTTGGTTGGGAGCTGCTATCGTGACTCAGATTACAGCATGTTTTTTTCTGAAGCGATGTCACTCTGTCTTTAAGGCATAATCATTTAAAAAAACAGAAAAGAAAGGCATGGGCACAACAGATTAGGCCAGACATCCATGCTGCCAATATTTAATGTCTGTGGCCATGGGACAACCCTCCAGTAAAAAGCAAGAAACAGGGAATACATCAATCTACAGGCTGCCCTAAACATCCATTTAGGATGTAACTTAGAGAGTTCCGTGCCTGAATACTTAAGAGTATATATATAATCTTTTAAACCTTTTGTCCACTATGGAACCCATACTTGGAAAAAATGTAACTGGAAAGAGCATGAAATAGCACTTACCTTTATTTATTTTAAACCTGGAGCACAATTTGTGCATTTAATACCTCCAAATCTTGTCAAATCATGTCATTCACTATCTTAAACAGGCTTGTGAATACCCTCTGCTTGCTCTGCTTCACAGAGTGTAACACAGGCGTAACTAAGTCTATCAGACACCACAAACTGTCAGATCAATCTYCTCCACAAACACTATCTTATGTCTATCAGATGTGAATTTGGCCTGCTATTTTCTTGCCCCACCACCTACCACTGTGAGATCCCTCTGACATTGCTCACAGTCAGCTTTTTGGTCTTGCCACCTGGAAAAATGTGTCAGAGCTTTATTATTCACCCTCCATTCCAGGTAGGTTATGAGCACTTGGAACAGCAGGGATTCCAGCACACTTTCTTCCAGAAGACTCCAGGGGTAACATCCCTGTACTGTCTAATCTACTGATTATTTTCCTAGTCACTACCTAATCASTACAGGATTACACCTGTTTAATTTTCAAAAAATCTTTGAAACAACAAATGCTTGGTTGTTTTTGTTTTTTTGGGCAGGGGTTTGTTTGCTTGGGGTTTTTGTGCGTGTGTGTGGTTTGGGAGTCTTTTAAGAAATCCAGATAAATATTGTATTAGTTGAATCACCTTTATCAAATGCTGATCCAGCCACTCAACACGAGCAGATTTACAGGACAGAAGTTCCTGCTGCAGAAGACAACTTGTGTCCTCGCTATCTGTGAACAAACACTAATTCTATTCTTTATTTTTAGGTTCTAAGAGGAGCCTGATATAGAAACTAAGCTTGCTTTTAGCTTCCACTTTCCCAAACACCCCCCAGACCCTTCTTGAAAAGCCCAGCACGTCTACTGCTTTTCATTCTTCCATTCTAAGGCCAATTTAAGCAATGATTATAACACAACCGTGTGTAACTCGGCAACTCCAACACCGAGTTCCTCACAAAGTGAGAACTTTTCCTAGCAATTCTTTGTGCTAGGAATTCACTCCAACATGTCAAGCTTCTGTCACTTTCCCCAGCTTGTCCCCTGGAAATGAAGGCTCCACATGGGAACTGTTCTGCAGTGAATAGCAATGCAAATAACTTCTCTGCTGCAGCTTTACCTTCCTTCAGCTCACATGTAATATTATGAACATCTATCTGCTCATCGGGTACTCTGACAGSCTTTCTGCCTTTGACAGATAGACAAAAAGCTTTATTTTTTTTTTAATGTCTCTACAAAGTTGTTCCTCAACATTTTTTTTGCTCTACCTCATTATGGTTTATATTTAACTTGCCAAAGTTAATGCTCTTTCCTATTCTCCTCATTTGGATACAACTTCTGCTTCAGAAAGATGACTTATTTYTAAGAGTCTTGTTTACTTTACTGTGCAAGCAAGTCATTGTTCATTTTTGTGGCTTTTCTTCCATCTCTTATTTCCCCTCCCTTCTCWCACTTTACCACTGAAACTGGACACAGTATTCTACAATTCTTGGATTGTGAGGTTTTGTATTTTAATTTTAAGTCAGTGTTTCACACARAAGTTCTCAACTTATTTGTGCACATGTGAACTTGAAAGAGCATTTGGGATATGGGATTTTGTTAAGATTGCATAAAGATTTCTGTGTCTGTTTCCAAGACAGAGTTTTTCTGTCTTGAAGGTAAAATCGGCATTTGTTCCTCCCAGATGTTTTATTTCATGTTGGATATAATAACGTATATTTTRTTGGACTGTGGCCATTTAATTCAAGCAAACCAGATTGTTCTCTAGAAGTAACCMACTCTTTTTTTAGTACTCTACAAGCTAGGATTTTTTCCAGGTACGAGTATTRATAAAGGGATCAACCATTGCTAGAATGAGAACTGATTGACTGAGGACCTCATTAAAACAAACAAATATACATTTTGTCCTTCTATCAACCACGTTTTGAGATTTCTCAGGGCATTGCTCTTTAATCCATCCAGCACTTGCTCATGCTTGGTAAAGTTTGAACTCTCATCTTTTACCAGTAAAAATGCACTTACCAAGAAGAGTTACATCCTCTGAGAAATATTTAKTCTATTTCAACTATTTCCACCATATTTTGCCTATTTACATTTAAAATTGCACTAAGAAGTCAGGAACCTTAAAATGGGAAAACATTTATTCATTTTATTCATGCTTGAAAACGGCCAAACCAACTTTATCCAAATAATAAAAACACCCAACAAAAACAAACATTTTACARCAAAAAACAAGCCTGAAAAATGTCAGCTGTAGAGATGATGGTTTCCTGCTGATACAATCAACTGAAAACAAAAGCTAGAATAAAACAAGTCWTGCAACTCAAATCTTTAAATGAACATGCAGGATAATTTGGCTCTAAGAGTTCTGAATATATTGAATTATGATACCTGACTTGATTCTATTAACTTTGCATAGTTTTATGAGTACGAGGAAACCTGAAGAAGAGAAAGAATTTAACGTGCAGCATGGAATTTTTTTCAGAACTACTGGTAAGCCATCCTTACAGCAGTACTTGGTAAAATAATGMAATGTCCAGTACTGAATGCAATTCATAAAGAAATCAAAGAGTTACAGRAAAAAACATTAATATTATTAAAGTTTTAGGGTCCATGTTAGAGGAGCACCTGAACATAAATACCTAGAGAGATGCTGTCCTTTAAACTATTAATATCATTTTTCAATGTATGAACCAGACAATGACCACTTGCTTCAACAAGAGACACATTTGTACCTCTTTGCATGGAATTAGTTCAAAGCAGTGAACTGCTGGGACAGGGTGATCTGCAAGCAGCTGCTGAGGCAGAGAATAAGTATCACTTCAGATTCTAGGAGGCAAAAAACCCCCTTTAAGCTAAAGTCCTTTTAAAATTAAAATAAGATTAATAGTTGTGTAATAATGAGTTCATCCTACTCTGTACTATTTACATTTAATATGTACACAAACACAGATTTAGAAGCACACACTTTCAGTTCTAGTATTTATATTCTAACCAGAGTTCCAAATTCTCACAGAAAATAATACTGATAATTGTTTGGTTTACACTGGTGATGGAGYACTTTAGTGTTTTGTTTTGTTTGGTTTTGTTTTTAAGGCTTGTCTATAGTATCTACTGGTTACAAGACAATGTCAGATTTATTTTCTTACTTTAAAAAAGCTTGCAGATACCATGTTTGCCAACAAAAACAAAGACAGAAGATACCACCCATTTCAGTCTTGGCTTGAAGGCCACGATCACTCAGCTTAACCTTYATATGCACAGGTCATGGAGATTCCCTCCTCAAAAGAAATAAAATTACTTTTTTGGAAAAGTGCCAGTTRTATTAACAAGTCCAGAACCTCCTCTTGCCAAAGAGATCATTGCACTAGAGCATCTCTTCCACATGTACAAGGAGCTTGTACCATGGTCACATAACCATTTGGTCCAATTTTCCAGTCGATGCACCCAACTGAAATCCTTGAGCCTCAACAGATTCATGTTCCTGCCATTCTATCCCCTGAACCATCTCCCAGCAATTCCACAACCTCTAGGCACCTGAGGGATGCTCCACCCTGCTCTCCCAAGCATAAAAAGTAAAACAACCAACTAGTAAGAAAATATCACACTGTCTTTACCATCTTTACTACTCCAAATCGCTTAGTCATGACCAAAGCTTCTTAATCATTGCATCATCTGGCACTACCAGTGAGCTTGACCACACATTTGTATCATGCACTGACAACATAATTTGTTTTATTACTCAACACCCAGAAGTCTCTACTCTCTACACTTTGAGCAAAGTCCTAGTTAGACTGAAGTCAATTAAGCCATTGCCGCTGACCACTCAAAGAGTCCAGAATTTCAACACCAGTCTCTCCTTGAACCAATCAAGTGACAGAGTAAGGACACTTTTCAAGACAAACTCTTCCCATTACCCACCTTGAAGGATGAGGAGTCATCAGGGGAATTGGGGAAAAACCCTACAGTGATTACTTACTTTGGGAAGATGACAGTCATGAGCGCTGATGCATAGCCTGGCTTGCACACTCCCTCAGAGAAGTTGGCATACTTTGAGGCCAGTTCTGGAGGCCTGTGGAAAAAAAAGTACAGAATCAGGACTCACCTGGCTATGAACGAGTTTTTGCAACCATCCAAGTACTTTTTCACCTTATAACTTTGCAGAAAAACAGCTGCAGGGAGTAATAGCAAACACAGACCATTATTTATTTATTGCATCACAGAAGAACAACAAACAAAGGAGAGAGGTAAAGATATCTGCAATAACACTAAACCACTAGTTTTGCTGAAAGGTTTTTATGACTAGCAAGGTAAAGCTCATGGAAGAGAAAGATCAATATATCATTTCAGACTTCAACCCTTCAAAAGGAAAAGAACATAAATAGCACTTTGCCTTCGCTATTTTTCTAAGTTATTATCAAAGTTAAAATTATAGAAAAATATTATTTAGAAGATTACTTAAGGACAGTTTCAAGAACTTGAAACAAAAACTCCAAGCAGTTTTGGCAGGGTATCATCAAGGGATGAGTGCTTCCAGTATTTGGAAGAGATGGCATTGCTGCTGCATCTTAATTCAGCTGAACAACCGACTCTTGGGCCAAATTTAGAATATGTGGGGAATTTTCTTCATTCGGTTTCTGTACAGAAACAATATTAGCAACTCAATAACAGATATTTCAGTGAGCACATACATTTACCATAGACCTACTGAGTGACCTGGAAAAAAAACATTTAATTAATTTTGTGTCCTTTTCACCACCCATAACATCTTTACATTCATTCACCCATTAAATGAAAGCATTACAAGGGTCCATTCACTTGAGCTCTCAAAGTAATATTAGGTATCTTAGTGTTAGCCACAGCATGAGAATTGTTAACATTCCTTGAAAATACAACAAAAAAAAAGCATTTACAGTTCCATGCTTGACATTCAGTGGAAGTTGCAAGAACTCGATTGATAACACCATTCTTGCTACATCATTGTTAGCAACAAGCAAGTAATAAAAGTTTTTTTCTTCCAGYTCAACAGCAGGAGTCAAATGAAGATGACAGCACAGATTTGCAGAGTAGGTCCACAAAACCAATTTTGAAGAGCCCCTTATTATCACAACCATGCTCTTTCCCAGGCATCACCAATATCACTTAAGCTGCTAAATGCAATGGATGTGGATTCAGAGAGTTTCCAAATTACACAGAGGAAGGACAGTAACTCCATGCTGAACTGGTAGTAACTATTCTTCTTATATCTCAAGAGGTCAGTAGCCAGTTCCAACCGGATGAACAATAGGTGGACAATTAATTTTACAACTAGCTGCATACAGTATAAAAACTCYGAAAGCTCCTCTACAGGAGAAATCTCTCTGTATACAGGACCCCTACTGTCTGAATATATAGATATATAAAGAATTTCTATGGCTTTTAAAGAATAAAGTCTATTTCTGCTGAATAAAAATCTAAACCTTCAGAGCTGGAAGAGAAAATAAACTGGAGAAAATAAATAGTCACTGTACRTATTTTATTTCTTAAGACCTTTTAAGCTAAATAGAACTGTAAAGAGTTTAAAAACACAGATCCTATTTAATTCTGTCACAGATATCCCGCATAGTTATGGTCCAAACATATAATATTTTACTATCAAAATTCCTTATTTGTAGGGTGGCAGATAAAACCATTTGGCCATTTACACTGTCAATTATTTACAATAAAGTTTAGATATCTCTGCATATATTATAYAGACACAGAGAGAAAGAGACAGGTGTAATATCATCTCATACAATCCAAATCCATGGGTTTGGTTTCCATAGGTGATGATATTATATCATAATCCATTTCTCTTAATGAGAGAGATGAGAAAGTATCAGGGACCTGAGCATCCAGCATGATTTGTGTTCTTATGCCAGTCAGAATCTTTMTAAATAGGCACATGAAGGAAAGGCCTGTTGCTAACAAAACAGAAGGTTTTAATGATACTAAAATATATCCCCTTCTGACACAGTCAAAAGGGACAGCAGGATGTATGGATTAAGCTTGCTGAAGAATTTCAGATACGAAGAAATGTGGGAAATTTTAATTTTTATCAAACAAACCTAAGCATGGATATTTTATTGTTTAGGCAACGTACAGAAACCCCTGAAACCAAAATCTTCAAAAACAAGTGGAAAGCAACTGGAATTTATCTGCAGCAACCATGGTAGTGAGTCATTGCTGGCAAACTTGTGTAACTATTTCAACAGCAGGCCTGTCTCAAATGACCTCAGTGGTCACACAAAATATCTTGTGCCACAAACACAGGCATTTTTCTCTGTTCCGATTTAATGGCGCTTTCATTATCAAATTAAAATGTCACTCAGATGCCCATCATGGTGTTTCTGCACAAGAATAGCAGGCTGAGACCCTCCTGCATSAGAGCCCCGAGAATGCCAATTGCTGCATACTGATGGATGGAGGGGGGAGCTGTCAGTACAAACCCACAAAGACACTCAGAGCTGCTAAAGCCCCAGGCCGAGCTGTTAACATTTCTTGGATGTGATGGAGTTCATGATCCAAAGTGCCAGAGGCAGAACAGCTCTCTAAGCCAACTGTAGCTGCCATCTCGTATCATTCAACATTTGCTCATCTCCTTTCTTCGTGCCGCATTTGGAGTCAGCAGGCTACAGAAAACTAGAAAGGGGCACTCTGCATTTTAAATCCATCTAGGGACGTGTTCTATTTGTTCAACCTGTTTGAAATATGCACTGCATACCSTCACTGCCAACATGCCCATAATGACAAGCCCCTAGTGAGTGTAACCCAGAGCAAATTCAGAGTAAGGCTGGATACAGYCTTGCTGTTTACCATTCTGCTCCCAGACAAAGCTATCCAAGCTAACATCATTTTAGATGTATACGTTTGCTCTGTGGGTATTTTTTTCTGCAAGATTCACAAACCTTGCGGAGATTGGTCTTCTATAAATCAGGATGCCAGCCAGGACCATCATGATGGTTATGACAGAAGGGTGCAAATCTCCTCTACATCTGCCAGGCCCAGGTAGATTATTCCAGCTCCTGATTTCCATGCTGGGCTGAGGTAGTTAAAGAGCTCATGGACACAGCAGAAAGGATGCAATTAGATGACGTTGYGGACCCTTTAAATTTTGCTCAGATTTTGTGCAGGAAAAACCCAGTAAAGTAAGAAATTTATCCAGAATAAATAAGAAAAACAAATCACAGTCAGTAAGTGTAAACATCTGCCATTTTTAAACAAGTGTCTGCATGAGGGTGAAKTTAAAGGGAAGTAATTGGCTTATTCCACTAAAGAGAAAATGCACTCTTGCTTTTTTTCTGACTTTTCTCTTGTGAGACCATCCTCAATGCTGAAGATTTTCTGTGCTTCTCTACACTGTTATGTGGACATCAATCTTAACAAAATTTCACAATTTGGATAAGTTAAAAATCCAGCTGCTTTCAGAGGATTTAGAAAAAGTAACAAGATTTTTTCCTTCTGCTTGCATTTGGCAGACGTGTGTCTTCTTTTAATCTCAAATATGAGAACGTCACCATGGTTAATTCCTTCATCGTGTCCTGAGCAGGGGCAGCATGTCATCCTCATAAGACTGGAATCTAAATCCTTTTAAAAAAAGAAATTAGTAATACAACTCTGTTTAGATTACYAAAAAAATGGCAACAACTAAGCTCATGTAATTGAATACTACAAAATCTACTCAAAGAGACAKATTTTGCTGCTTTGCCTTTCACATGGAATTTAAATTGTGGATTGGAAAAAAATCAGAAAATTTCATCTACTTTAGATCATCTCATTTAGGGACTGATGTCTCTTGCTGTTACTTTTGCACACAAAATATATGTACTGACACATTTCTGAAACAAGGAAAAGGAGTTCTCTGACAACGTGTACTCTAGGCTGACCCTTCTCCTTGGGGTTTCTTCTTTTTGGTTCAAAACAAMCTGAGTCTTATGCCCACACAGCAGCTCTAAAGAGTGTCTGTCATGATACATGAAGAACAAATAGGAGATGGGATGAGCACATAAAATGAAAGCATATAAAACATAGTGAGGTATAATGGAGCAATAATGAAATAATATTAGCAAGTAATTTGGCATACCACTTAATCAAAGCAGTTAATGCTGAGACCCCATAGCTACACCCTGTGAGGTTCAGTGAAATTTAGAGAATTTAATTTAGGTAAGCCTCCCTGGGTCAGATGTATCCACCATACACAGTCGTGGCTCAGTGTTGCCCGAAAAACAACTTTGTAGACTCCTGGAATAAAACTTTCAGTTTRGTTTCCCTCAAATAAGGCCAGGGCTACATTTCAACTGGCAATAAGCATTAGTTACGGGACTTCTTCAAAATTGCAGGACTGCTCCAAAGAAGATGAAGACACAAGCAGAATGGCTGGGGTGTGCATTTGTATGTATTTCAATTAATATAAAAAGGTCACAGATATCTGAATGGTATTTGYTTTATACATCACTTTTAGCCTAATAAATAGACAGCCTCCAGTCCTGCATATTCCTTTTTATAATAACATAACAAAGAGGTGAGAAAGTAACTGCTCTGTCAACTCTCCCCTTCATTACAGACTGCCAGGCTCACAGCAAATAAAACCAGTTCACTTAAAGGCAGGGAGGACACCTTCAGCAGGTTTGGTGGTGCAGCTCCTCAGATACTCCTGCTCAGCCTGAGGAAGAGAAGTCATTTACAACAGCAGCCTTCACCTACAGGGCAGACAATCCCATACACCAGAAGGAGCAGGGGACTGAAAAAATGCATTTCCATATCTGACTTTGTAAGCAGAGTCATGATCATCATGTCATTCAGGTGCAATCTCCTTGAGTGGAAGACACCGTCACAGAACTCTCCCCCAGGTCCATGGCTGGGGCTCCACGTTCACCAGGAGCACAGTGCAGGTAGGAAACAGTGAAACAGAAGTTTAAGGAGCTCCAATTACAGCTCTTGCAAATTTGCAAACTTGGGTTCAAAGAACTAAACAGCATGATGATTTGATACTTGCTATTTTTCTAGTTCCAGCTGAGGAAAAGCCAAACAAACAAAAGGAAGGAGTGAGTAGAT